GAAGAAGAAGAAGAAAAGAAGAGCGGCTATCACAGAATCTCTAAACCATGGGATGGAGAAGATCCGGAAGATTCAGCTGTTCTGTGCCGGGAGCAGCTCCCGGGCACCATCCTGTGGGGGCTGTGGGGGCTTGCTGGGCTCCAACAGCCTCTTTTAGGATCTGCACTGAGACCTAGGTCTGCTCCCGGGGAGATTCAGATCACAAAGGCCCCGTTCTTCCCCAGTTCTTTTTCACCACGGCGGCCGGGTTTGCCAACGGTCCCAGCCTGCAGTCCAAGCCCGGGCGATGGGAGGCCATGGGCTCTCATCAAATGTTTACCAGGGACCCTATCCACAGGGTCAGCGGGGGGCACCGTGGAGGCGGAAAGTCGGAGGAGGAAGAAGCCCGGGCCTCGGAAGGAAAAGGTGATGGAGAAGGTAAAGGAAGGCCCGAGAGACAAAAGGAAGGCGCGAGCAAGCCCCGCACAGCTCCCGTGTCCGGGATGGGGCGAGGAAGCCTGCAAACCCCAGCCTGCAAGCCCCTCCCGCCCGAGCCCTCCGCCTGCTTCCCCGCGTCTGGCCGCCAGGCGTCGCTCTCCGGTCCGTCGTTCCTCCCCCAAAATAAGAAAGGGGGGGGGCAGAGGGGAGGGCGAAAAGGGAGAGCACTCCCCCAAGCAAGAACAATTTGAAAACCCACCCCATAATATTTAAAAACTGGGACAAAGAGCCGTCGGGACGCAACTGCTTCCATTGCAAAACCTGCGCGCAGCCTCCCGGGCGCAGTTGCAGCCCCTTTAAAAAAGAAAAAGCGGAGTGCAGCATTTGGGATACTTGAAAGTTGAAACGCAGGGACGGAGTCGGGGCGGAAACCAGCAGGAAAGCCTCGAACTCCTCCAGACGATCGCGCGCCTCGCGGGGACTTTGGAGCGCGCCACGGGGCCCTCGGATGGCGCGAGCCTGAGGGTGCTGGGCGAGTTCGCGGAGCGAGCGTGGGAAGGCCGCAGGGCCGCCACCCTCCCCGGGGCTGCGGGTCATGGCCACCGCGGAGCAGGGAGCGCGCGCGCTGGGCTTCAAGTGTCTGTCGCTGGCCACTTTCGTGCTCCTGTGCGCCGGGCAAGGGGGCCGCCGCGAGGACGGGGGTCCAGCCTGCTACGGGGGCTTCGACCTGTACTTCATTCTGGACAAGTAAGTGCCTCCGGTCGTTCCGCTCGGGTCTGAGCGGCGGGCGCCTTCTCCCCGCCGAGGGCTGGGGGGCGAGATGCCTTTGGGACAGGCGCGCTTCCCAAGGGAGCCAGAGGGACCCCGGCGCCGCCGCCCGCGGGGAGGTGGCTCTGGCCCCAGCGCTGCGCCTTTGTTGGCACCGCGCTCCTCCCTCCCGCCCTTCTCCTCCGTGCCGAGCCCGCTGGGGAGGCGTCGCAGCCTTTTGGGGTGGGGGGGTGGGGGCAAGGGGGGGATGGGGAACAAACTTCTCTTCTGCGACCGAGGAGTGGCGGCGCAGGCTATGGACTCCCTGTTTAGGGACGTTGGCGAGGAAGACTAGCTTCCGGAGGCAGCATTTTCGGGTAGTTCTAAAGTGAAGAGCCATGGACTTTTAAAAAGTCAGCCCGAACCTTTTAAGAACGCTGACGCACAGTGCCGCGCCTTTGTTCCTAATAGCATAGAATCCACGCTGGATTCTGTTCCCAGTAACATAGAATCCTGCAGGACGACAGCGCAGTGGTTCAGGCAGGGATCCTCAGCCTCAGCGCTTTGGGAGTCGATTTGCTTGGGGGCGGGGGGCGCGG